TTAAGCCTCCCTCCGTTTTTGGGGCCGTTCCTTACAGATTCCTCCTCCTTCCTAAGCACTGTTCCATCCTCAGGCTCTTGAGGGCCGGGGAGCTGGGGCAGCAGTGGGGGGAATCATTCTAGAGTTTTCACACAGCCAGGAGAAAGGAAATGAAGGCATCCAGCAAGAAACTGGCAAGGATATCCCACTTCCTTGCACCTTCACTCCCAACATCATTGGCCCCATCTGAGCTCCAGTTTCCACTCAGGAAAGGGAAAATCTGAAACACAGGCTAACCAAGCAGGCAGGCAGATGGACAGGTGTGCATTTAGAAACATTTCACAATGTCTGTTTACAGACTCTTCTCATCTCTGCTCAGTCAGGAGGGTCCCCTAGGACCACACCTGGAGCCAAGTTTGTGTTATTGGATACAGAGCCTGAAAGTAATAAAACTACATCCTAAACACTCTATAGAATACAGACTTCCTCCACATCTGGCTGCTCTCCTCCACCACAAGAACAAGCCTGGAGTGTGGCAAGTGATGGTGACTTTCCTGGTTGTCCCCTCCCCAATCCAAGGTGTCGAGGCAGAAGGAGATGATCAATGACCTGAAGACTGCCTGATAGAGGAGGAGAAGGGAAAGGGGGAGGAGGGTTTGAAGGAAGAAGTAGTCAGGACTGCAGTCTACCATTAGCCGATGGCTTTATAAGCCTTATTATGTAGGCATTCTTCCCTTTCAGCACTCCAATCCCAAGGAGGCATCTTTTCCTCGCCACTCTCCCATCACAGTATCTTATTGGTTTTCCCCTCCCCATTCCTACCTCCTCTGCCCTGAATGTGAATTTGCATCAGACTTGAGCTGTTTAAAAATGTTGGGGACTGGGGGAGGTCCTTGCCCCACCAAGTGCAGTTTCCCCCAGTCCAGCTCCCTTAGAGATCGCTCTGGCTCTGCTGGGTTTTAATTCCTGAATATCACTTGCCCCCAGACTCCCTAGGGTGTTGTGAGGGCAGAGTTTCTGAAGGCAATCTGAAATGTCTGGATCAATGGCTGCATAGAAGCTGTAAGTCAGCTCTCTAGCTTATCCTCCCAGGCTTTCTGAGATGTCACTCCATCTAGGATGCTGTGATCAGCAGGGTCACATGCATTCAGACACTAAACTGCTTTGTGTTTCTCATTCCTAACCCCTAAACCCACCATTTCTTTGCCAGCCTTTAGTGGGAACTCATACAGTGAGCCTCAGGAGGTAAGCTGAGGGGAGAGGGAAAGGGGAAGGAGGGAGACAGAAGCCACAAGCCACGGGACTGAGAGGAACCTTCTGGAATGGTTTGCATCTGTTTAGAAGTGAGTCTCACCATTCTCTATTTCAGGCTCTAGTGATTACAGATTTTTTTTCAAGAGCCAGATGTTTAAAAGTCTTGGCATGGTTTTAAAGTCAGTCCTGAAGGTTTCAGCTGAATTTACCCTGCATGTTTTAGACTCACTGGAATGACTGATTAGAGCCAGGAAGCTCAGACTCCCTCCAAAAGCAATGGAGGCATTTATCCAAGAATGGGGGCAGTCACTTGCAGTGTTTGCATGCCCCCTTTTGTTGGGAGGGAGCAGCTATACCCTGCTACCTCTGGAAATCTGCCTTATTGGCCTGGCATCCTAAGGATGTGCCCACCTTGCTTAGTAGAGGCCATCTCCATCCTGAAAGCCAAGTCATGGAATGTATGCCTTTCTGGCATTTACAAAAGGCAACGCTTTCCCCAAAAGTCTGGATGTGCATGAAGGTATCTACCTTCAACTTTAAGAATTAAAAAAAAATCTATTCCCCCAAATAGTTGTTTTTGTAGTCCTATCTTCTTACCCAGCTCCCACCATGCAATGCTAACATTCTCTTCTACTGGTCTGTCATGAACAACATGCCTTTGGGCATGTGATCATTTTCAAGTCATGTTATGACCGACCTCAGATCCCACAGAACAGTAACCTCAAAGTCAACTCAGCAAGGCATTCTGTTCACTATCTATGATTCACGAAGTGCTGTGCCAGACACTGTGGTAGATACAAGAAAAAAAATGTAAGAAATGCGTTTTAGCCTCTGAAGACTTAAAACCAAAGTTAAGGAGATAGGATATATGCATTTGAAACACCTTAAGAGCAATAAAAAACAGCGTATAACCGAATGGTAAATGACAAGAGCATGATAATAGCAATTCCGCTCAGTTATTGAGACCTTCCTAAGAAACAGGCACCATGCTTAGGGCATTACATTTGTTATCTCATTTTAATCCTCCTAACAACCCTATGGGGTAGGTTCTATTAATATCTCCATTTTAGAGCTGAGGGAACTCAGATTTGCAAAGAGTAAATAATTTGCTGCTATATATTTGATAAAGGCAGGCAGGCAGAGCTAAGATTTTGTTCCCAACTTTTAATTTTAAAGACACTTCAAAGCTACAGGAAAGTTGAAAGAATAGTATAATATTCGTATGCTTCACCTAGATTCACCAACTGTTAACGTTTTACCACATTCTGCTTTATCATTCCCTGTGTCTGTCTCTACACACACACACACACACACACACACACACACACACACACCCCTACATATTTTTTTCTGAACTATTGGAGCATAAATTGCAGACATCATTCCACTTCACCTCTAAATACTTCAGTGTGTATCTCCTAAGAACAAAGACGTTTTCCCACAAAATGCCAATGCAGTTATCACATCTCACAAACTTAGCCAGAGGCAGCATTTGAACCCAGCTCTCACTCCAGAGTACAAATGGCAAGTTCTGTGAGAGTTCAGCAGGAGGAGCCATCGGTGCAGTCTGGGAATTACAGGATGGATTTTTTGTGGACCCTTACTCCTAATTATTCATAGCAATGGAAGAAAGGAGTTGGCCAAATAATCACAAAGCATGCATAATCAAAAAACCAAATTCCATGCTTTTCGGATTGTGTTCTATTTGGATGGGAGGGGAATGACACAGATTTGCTTTCCTAATTAGTTTCTTCTCTGGCCAATATTAAAATTGGTTTTTCCCAACCACCCACTGACATTACAACTAGGGTAGCTACCCCAGAAGTTCTTTGATTAAAACACAATAGCAGGGCTTCCCTGGTGGCGCAGTGGTTGGGAGTCCGCCTGCCGATGCAGGGGACATGCGTTCGTGCCCCGGTCCGGGAAGATCCCACATGCCGCGGAGCGGCTGGGCCCGTGAGCCATGGCCGCTGAGCCTGCGCAGCCAGAGCCTGTGCTCCACAACGGGAGAGGCCACAACAGTGAGAGGCCCGCGTACTGGAAAAAAAAAAACAACACACACACACAATAGCAGAAGTGGGAAGCAGCCGCACAGCACAGGGAGATCAGCTCGGTGCTTTGTGTCCACCTAGAGGGGTGGGATAGGGAGGGTGGGAGGGAGACGCAAGAGGGAGGGGATATGGGGATATATGCCTATGTATAACTGATTCACTTTGTTATACAGCAGGAACTAACACACCATTGTAAAGCAATTATACTCCAATAAAGATGTGAAAAAAAAAGCGCACAATAGCAGAAATCCACTAAGTAGGTAAGCCATATACGAATAATAGAGAACTGACCACAAATTCCAGCTAAAAAGGAATTCTAGCTAGAAATTTTAGCCACAGGTCAGGGTTCAGTATCCACAATATAAATCTAGTCCTTGGTCAGTTATGTTAAGAGAGAGTTCCATGCACTCCCCTGCTCCAGAGGCCCAAGTCTACTCACCCAATGAAATTCCAGAAGCAGGGTGTTGCCCACTGCAGCCTGAAGGAGAAAGCAGGCCCTGTGCTGCAGATCAGCCCAAACCCCCCGAGGAGCTCTGACCTGGCTTTCTTGTTTCTTTTTATTCAGGGAAGCCGGATTTAGAAAGGCTGTCAGATTAGCCCAGTCCTGCGGTGCTTAATGACCTCCCTGAATGCGGTCACAGGAGAAATCTTGACCTTTTAAAATCCTTGATTTCGCTCAGTAATTTTAAGAAGCTAAAGCCCGCATCTGCATTTGCTTTGCTTTTCATGCTTTCACCAGACACTTCAAAAGTGAAAATCTTGCAAATCTCTGCGTCTCAGATGCCAAGGCAGGGACACCCCTTCATCGAACTGGGACTGGGAGAGATGCCCTACTGGACCTTCTGGGTAGCCAGCGTTAGGTCACACTTTTGCGCTCTCTCCAGACCTTTTGGTTTGGGGCAGACACAATCTGATCAGCAGTATCTCTGAATCCATGTAAGGTGAGCCATGTTATAACTGGGATCCGCTGTGTATACGCAACCTTTGGTGGGGACTTTTATCTCATGGGCATCCCTTGAGATCGCACAACTTTAAAGACATTCTTGCTCTTTCTGTTTGTGACCCCGGGCTTGCTTAGGGAGTAAATCGTTTCCCTTGAGATTTAACAGGAACAAACGGGTCAAAAAATAGTGTTCAGGTTGAGGTGGGAATACTTGCAGCCTTGCTATTTAAATTCCCTTTGAGGCTTCACCTCTCTCTCCCTCCCTCTGTTCCTCCCTGTCCTCAGCCTGCAGATCTAAAATGCCAGAAAGCGACTCCTTTACATCTCCTTCCCAGAGCTGTTGAGTGGCCTTCCCCGCCTGGATCAAAGTCTCTAACTCCTCAGGGCTTCCCCTCCAAGTTACCCCTCACACTCGTCAGCCCTGCAGGGACACAGGGAGGCTAAGAAAGAGCATCTGGTATTTTGCACTAAGCATGCTGTGGTGGCGGGAAGTTGGAGGCAGAGGAAAAAGGGAGAGTTAGTTCCTAACCATGTAAGGAACAAGCTCAGCCCTTTCTGGAACTAGTACATAAGACAGTGAGAGGCCTCCGAGAAGAAACTTTATCTGGCTGGTGATTGCACTGGCCGGTGGCTTTGGGGCTGAGTGCGTGTGGGCGCTGGGCATACAGAGTTGCCCGCACGTGGCAGCCCCCCAGGGCAGGCCCACAGCGCGGGCTCCTAGGCACCCCAGCGGACAGGGCGCGTAACTGGCCTCCGGCTCCCTGGCAGGCACCATGGCTGGGTTTTATGGTTGCCTGAAGACTCCAGAGTGGTGGACGCAGAAAGCACTGCAACTGGACTGCACGGAGTGCAGAGTGGCAGAACGCCGGCCGCCGGTGCGGGCACCGCTTCCCACCCCATCGGGGCGCCCGCCGAGAAGAGGAGCAACTGTGAGCCAGCCGAGGGCGCGCGGCGGGGAACTCGCCGTCTCCGGTGCTCGAACTCGAGGCGACGCGCTTGCCGCGTGCGGGCGGCCCGCTCCTACGAGGGCTCGCGCAGGTGTGCGTGCGTGTGCGCGTGCGTGGGAAAGCGGCGGCGGGGGCGCGGGCGCGGGGCGCGCGCTTCCAGGACTCGGCCAGCCCGGAGGGGGCGGGGCGGGGCGGGGCGGGGCGGGGCGGGGCGGGGTGGGGTGGCTGGACCCAGAGGCTCCCGACTTGCAGGCTTTCTGCTTTCCGCCGCCGTCTCCACCCGGCTCACCTGAGTCCCCGGGAGCGTGGGCAAGAAATGGGAGAAAGAGGAGGGAAAGCAGGAGAGAGGGATGGAAAGAGAGGGAAATTCGGGGGAGTGGAGAAAATGACCTCAAATTTTCTGAGTTGTCTTAATTTTCTAAATCTGTTCCAAGCTGTACAATACGCAGTCTCCCGCTTATCTGATGTGGCGTTAGCTCCAGTTTATGCTCACTACGTGTCCATGGAGGTGTTTTTGCATGTCGTGTGTACGGATTTCAAGCAGTGACAACAGGAAGAAGCACAATAGATCTAGTCATATGGTTGATTAGTGGGTGTGCAATTATTTTCAATTTTCGTTCACGAAGCTGACACTCTTCTCCCTCAGCTATCACAATCTGGAATCATGCCAGAAACTCACCTCACTCATTGCAGGTCTCCAACAGTCGAGAGTTGCACGGGTTCCTCTGGTCCCTGCAGTCCTCTGCCTTCATGGAAAGGCACCACCGTGGTATTCCATGTGATTTTTCGTGGCACCCCATTTGAGGAGCCAGAGACGGGAGGTTGATGCATGGAGGTGTGAGTAGGGCTGGCTAACCCTCCGCTGCGTCCTCACGATCGGTGCCAGAGCGCGCTCCCGCTCTTCCGGTGGGGAATGGGCCTGGACTCTTGAAGCTTGAAAAGCGGCCTTGCAACTATTTTATCCCCCCAGCTCCTGGGCTCACTGTTGTGCCCTCAACCTATGGCCTCGGATGGTTGCTGTGGAAATTATAGGCTTTCTCTGCGGAACTCACCATGGCACCAGATGACAGAGAGGTAGATGGTGAAGCCTTTGGGAGGAGGAGGGAGGTGACAGTCATTACGGTGGGAGATGCTAAGGGCATTGTTGCTGCTCCCAGGTGGTGTGCGAGCCCTTCCTCCCTGGGGTTCAGTGCTGGCTTCTGTTAGATCCTCCTGCTTGCAAATGCAGCAGGGGCCCTTCGTCCTAATGTCCACTTTCCATGCAGGGGATCTGGGGAAGCCTGAGGTCTTTGGGGGTGGAAAAAGGGGACTCAGTGGACCAAAGGCCACTTCCTGTGGCCACCGTTATAGGCCCGAGCTCATCTGATGATTTATGTAATCTGGGCTGAAGGAATAAGAGAAATGATAAGAGAGCATTTGAGGAGATTATTATAGAGTCAAGGCTTCTATAAATAAGAGGCTTGGAGTCCCTCGCAGGACCTAGACGGTATGGAGACGCAGTGAGCGTTCAGGAATATTGTGCACCTGCTCTGTAGCAAGCTTTGTGCTGAGCAGCGTGGAAGAAACTTATGCTTTCTTCTCCCGGAACCAAGCAAGCACAGTGCCTGGCACCAATATTTGTTGAAGGAATGTTGTTGACTGAACCAACATGCCCTTGAGGAACTTGCCTTTTTAGGGAGTGGTCAGCCCAGTCAGCAGCAGTTTGCAGGAGGTGGGGTGGGAGGTGTAGGCTCAGTAGGACAGAATGTAAAGGAGGACAGGAGATGGACGAGCCTGGGGCGAGAAGTGGGAGAGAGACCAGAAGAAGGGGGCGACAGGAATGGAAACATAAAGCAGAATTTGGGTTAGTGGAGAAAATCACCTTACGTTTTCTGAGTTGTCTTCATTTTCGAAATCTGTTCCAACCTGGACAATATGCAGTCTTCAGTTATCTGATGTGGCGTCAGGGTCCCTTCTCTGAGCTTTTTTGAGGGCGTAGTGGGAGAGGAAGACCAGGAGAGAAATTGGGCTGCTGGAACATTCACTGCTCCCCCTGTGAGCCTTGGGTTTCCTGCTACCCTCCATCCCCTCAACACCCCCCCAGAGGGGGGCTTTCCTAGAATCACAGCTTGGCCACCTCAGGAGAGTTGGACCCTTTCAAGGAAGCCCAGTAGGCTTTGAAAGTTGAATTTGGGTGGAAACACAGTATCGGTTCCCAGTTTCCTCTGCACATCACAGTTGCGTTCTAGATTTTATATCCAGGTAGATACATTTATGATATGAGTTGGAGCTGTTTGGCCAGTGGCGGAAATATTTTCAGAGGCATCCATACCCTTGTAGGCTTGACTCCATGCCACTAGCCCCACTGGCCCCTCACTGGAACCAAGTGAGTTGCTAGGGTACCGGTTTTGGTGTTTAAATTCGGAACTAGCTCTTGTTAGATATAGCTCTTGCTTAAGTTAACTAGCTGTTAAGTTCTGTTCTTTTCATAGACATAGAGTGACAGCAGGTGACAAGCAAATTATCAAGGGATCAATTAATATGTGTATCGGTAGAAGGGAGAAAATAGTAGGCTTCTTGAGTTATGCGAGACCGTTTTGTACAAGTACGTGAGAAGATGGAGGCAAAGCCCAAGAACTGTCTCAACCAGACGAGATCTTGCAATGGTGAGATGGGTGAAAATGGCTTCATTTTAAGGGTGAGGAAACCAGACCCCAAAGATGGTAAGTGATTCTCCTTGGGTCACACAATCAATGACAAATGTAAGATTAGAGTCCTGGGTACCCCGTCTTCCGGTGTAGAGCTGTACAGCCTGGGAAAGAGGAAAGATCATCCTCTGAGCAAAGGACGAAAAGCATGCATCATGGGATACAGTGGCCCCTCACTGGGCTGTTGCAGATGTCGATTCAACCCAAGGCAAAATAGTGAGCTAGGACAGCTTTGGTTTTGGCAACCTCAGTCCCTCCTGTCACAACCCTTTCCCATTTCAGCCCCTTCCCTCTCCGGGTGCCCTGGGCCTGCATCTTGCCCTCCTCTCCCAGCCTCTGGTGTCCCAGGCTGTGGACTCCCCTTGGCTAACACATTGCCATCCTGTGGCCCAGGGGCTGGCTCTTGGCCAGACTGGCCGATGGGTGCTAGGTTAGTGGGCCTGGATGGATTACTCCAGACGATGTGCATTTCGATATGACCTGGATGCACTTGTGTCACTCTGATGCTCGGAGGTCATCTGGGGGAGTTTGCAGGTTGGTGGGTCCCTCACATCATGCCGGTCAGCTTCTTCTGCTCTAAGAACAGGATGCAGGAAGCTGAGGCTGAGCGCTTCTGCCACAAGCCCCTGGCCCCCAACCAGGGAAGAACTATTGTAATTGGTGTGCCAGTCTTCTCCCCTTGGCTGCAGAACTTTCCTGATGCCCCGCAAAGCAGTGCAGCCTATTTGAGATCAGAGGACACACATATTGACTTTTTCTGAATTCCAGTTGTTGGTAGTCAGGGGGCCCCTGCATTCTTTCTTGGCCCTGGGTAGCCCCCTGGCACCCAGTGGCTGGAGGAGACACACCCCCAGGTCCTTCCAGTGGCTGACGGTTTCAGGGCTATCTCCCCTCCCACCTGCAATCTGTTCTCCTGAACCCGAGGCCGGCCTGCATCCGGGGAGCTATGATGAACCTGAAGCCTGGCTCCATTTGACCTTCCAGCTGGGGAAGGCAAATGCGGACTAGCAGAAAGCACCAGAAATGTGCACGTAGCTGCATGCACTCAGCCTGCCAGCTCAGACCCAACCTCCACTCCTTACTGTTATTAAGAGTGTTTAATGTGGTCACTAGAGATCCCTGTGGCACTTTGCATCCTTCTCGCCTCCCCTTCTTCCATTGTTTTGCTTCTTCTAGTTTTAGAAGAAAAGCTATTAACTCCAGTTCCCCTGGCAAGGGGCCCAGACTGGCTACTGCATTTTGCTAACCTGCGTTCATCCTGTGGCATCTGTCTGAGGCACTGTCCATTCATGAGCGTGATAAGGGAGCCATGGGGTGGCAGGTGAGTACCCAGGAGGTTCCACCCTAGGCCCCCAGCCTCACCCTCTGCTGGGGAGGTGGGGAGAAAGCCGGCTCTCTGGAAAGTTCTTGAATAAACTACTTGCCATATTTACCGGTTTACCGGAACTTTGTCTCCTTTGACTATAACGTCATTAAAATATTGAACTCTTTGTGAAAATTCATTTAGGAGGGAATGGTTATAAAAGCTTTCAGAGATTTCTCTGAAGATGCAGTTGACAAATTCCATTTGGTCTTTAGCAGCTTTCTAAGGAGTGTTCCATTTGTTGTATGAAAAATGTGGAAAAGTATATTATTTCATCCGTAACCAAAATTTCAGCACTTTGTATGGGAATGTTTACACTAGTTTCTTTTGAATCCCTTGAAAGCCCATATTCTGTTGGGCCACCTTTAACATTTTGGGGATTCTTTCACCAGTTTCTCAAGTAGCACAATATTTTGTTATTTCTGGAAATTAGTAGCCAAAATGCGGTATGTGATGTGATTGCTCCTGTGGTTTCCTCGTTGATTTTCTATGCTGACATTCCTTTAACTTTTTAAACCAATTCATTTCTTATCCTTCCTTGGCAATTTCATGGTTATGGTTAATGGAGAGCACATTGGAGGAACTAATCGTACAGTACATTGTAGTGAGCCCTCCTTGGCATCTTCACACTCAACCTGCTTCATTAAATGGCCTTACTCTTTCATGAAATCTTCAATAGCTTTTAAACCCACTCATTCACTGCAAATTACCGTATAGACTGTGATTCACTAGAAAAAAATGAGTGTCAGTGAAATGGCTTGTTTTCAGGAGGCTAAGGTAAGGTAATGATAAGATTTGCCATTTGATTCTTCAAATACATACGCTAACCTTAACCCAGAGGTTCTTAGCAGAGGTGTGGGGAGCAATTTGGCTCCCCCAGGGGATGGTTGGCAGTATCTGAAGACTTGTCCAGTCATCAAAACTAGGGGGAAGGTGTGCTACTGGCATCTAGTGGGTGGAGGCCAGGGATGCTGCCCTCACAGCAAAGAATTCTCCAGCCCCAAATGTCAATAGTGTCAGGATTGAGAAACCCTGCCTTCA